TATTATAAAGTGTCTTTGCATTTATAAAATGAGACACCCATTTGAGTACTGTATCACCCTCATCACATCTTTCGTAAAGTGGTGTATTAACAACTTGCAAAAGATCAAAAAATTCCTTTGCATCTTCCATTGCCTTTTCAAAGATTGGCTTATCATTGGCTTGATCATTCATATTATATTCTATACTATGTGAACTCATTGCCTCCATAACCATCTCCCTAATTAGATCGTTACCTGGTTCTTCCATCACAAAAGGAGCTGCCCTTAAGGATTCCCCCCTCTGATGACGTTGTCAGTTTCTCACTAATTGCTCTCCGTGTGCAAGCTAGACTACATACCCATTTATAAAACATTTATCTATCAAATGACACTGAATAGTAACATGACGATGCCATTCGCCACTCATACATTTCCTGCACGGACACCTAATGTAATTTCTACTACAAAATTTTGGATAGGACTAGGAAAATGCAAAATCCAGGAAGTACTCCATGCCAAATTTGAATTTATCAACAAAACAGCCATTATCATCTAAACGATGATACATCCAATGTCGATCTCTCATCGTTTGAAAATTTTCTTTAAATTTTAATTAAAAAATTCATATCCCCACACAAAAAATATATTCAAATTTGATAATTTAGTAAACATATTTTATAACCTAAAATTAAAAGTTAATATAAACACTTTAACATATCATTTACCAATCAATTAATCAATCAATATAATAATAATTAGCCAATGAATTAATTAATAATAAATCAATATAATTATAATTTACAAATAAATATATTAATATAATAATAATTTATCAATCAAGTAAACAATCTATTCAAAATCTACTAATTAATTAAGCAAAATAAACATAATTTCTATAAATTAATTAAAAAAATATAATCATAATTTTTCAATCAACCAATTAATCAATATAATCATATTTAACCAATCAATAATTAATATTATAATATTTCCCCAAACTAAATTTTAAAATAAAAATATAGTGAAAAATTAGAATATACTTATAAAAGTAGGAGACTTACAATTCTAGTTTGGAATTAGACTGAAATTGAAACTTTAAATTTGATGGCGGACCTACAAAAAAAAAAAAACAAAAGATTAATGAATTGAGAAATGTAAAACACATACAAATGAAATTAAAAATTATAACAATTAATTTCTAAAAAATAAAACAATATTTCAGAAAAATATCATAAAAAGTAGTACTTTTAGATAA